AGCCCAAATGTCTATCTACTGATGAATGGATAAAGATGTGGTGTATGTGTGCATATACATACATATGAATATATATGTGTATGTATATATATGTATGCATTTATATGTATGTTTATATGTATGTATTACTCGGCCATAAAAAATAATGCAATCTTGACATTTGCAACAACATGGATGGACCTAGACTATTATGCTAAGTGGAATAATGCAGTCAGAGAAAGGCAAATACCATATGATTTCACTCATATGTGGAATTTAAGAAACAAAACAGATGAATATAGGGGAAGAAAGGGGAAAAATAAAAGAGGGAGGCAAACCATAAGAGACTCTTAACTATAGAGAACAAATTAAGGGAGGGAAGTTGGGTGGTGGATGAGCTAAATGGGTGATGGGAATTAAGGCGGGCACTTGAGATGAGCAACATATACAGGATGTCAGTGATGAATCACTAAATTCTCCTGAAACCAATATTACACTATACGTTAACCAGAATTTTTAAAAATTTTTTAATGTATATTTATGTCTGAGAGATGAGCAGCGGAGGGGCAGAAAGAGAGAGGGAGACACAGAATCTGAAGTAGGCTTCAGGCTCTGACCTGTCCACACACAGCCCCACACAGGGCTCAAAATCACAAACGGCAAAATCATGACTTGAGCCGAAGTTGGACGCTCAACTGACGGAGTCATGCAGGCACCCCCTATGTTAACTAAAATGTAAATAAACACTTGAAACAACAACAAAAGCCGGATGCTGATAACTTTATAAGCAAGTTTTACCAAGAAAAAGATAAACTGATATAAAAAGCTTCAGATAATAATGTAGAAGAAACACTCTTTACTCATTATATGAGGCTAGCATAACTCATATCAAAACCAGACTAGAATAGATTAATAAACTGTTTATTATGTGATTTTTACATACACCTGCTCTTAGATTCCACACTTGTATTGAGTGTTTATCATGAAAAGGTGTTAAATTTTATTTAATGCTTCTTCTGTATTTATTGAGGTGGCAAATAATTTTTCTCCTTTCATCTCCTTTAATCTTTAATCCACCAACTTTAATCAACTTTAATGAACTTTAATCAACCAGCTGAGCCACGGGGTGCCCCAAAATATTCCCTTCGAGTATCAGAATAAGACAAAGATGCTTGCAATCATCACTTGTAGTCAGCATTCTAGAGGTCCTAACTAGTGCAGAAAAGGTAAAAGGATTGGAAAGGAAGAGATAAAACAGTTAATATTTGTACACAGAAAACCCAACAGAAGCATGAGAGAGTATTAGGATGTGAGACTCTAAAAAGGTCACAGCTACAAAAATATATAGAACAGCCAATTGTATTTCTTCTATTCCCAGACATAGCAAAAGTAATTTTTAAAATTACACTATTTACAATAGCATTGAAAACTATGAAGTGCCTAGGAATAAATTTAATAAAAGATATATATAAGACTTTTCTGGAAAAAGTATATAATTATATTGAAAGACACTGAAGAAGTCTTAAATAAATCAAGAAAATTATGGATAAGAAGATTCAAAGTATATAAAGATGTCTAGTCTTCTTAAATCGATCTATAAATGGAATGCAATCCCAATCAAAATCCTAGAGGAGTTTTTTGTGAAAATTTACAAGCTAATTCTAAAATGTAAATGGGCTGCTTGCTCAGAACAACATTAAGGAGCTTCTCTGATCAGATACTGACTTCTTATAAAGCTATAAGATGATGTAATATGGGCATAGAAATAAACAAGTAGATCAGAAAATATCAGAATAGAGACCTCAGAAACAAATAAAACAAAAAATATATATAATACACATATTACATATATATGTAATATCATGGATACACACACACACACACACACACACACACACACACACACACATACATACTTGGTTTAAGACAGGGCTTTAAAGGTCAGTGGTTAAAAGATTCCTTAATAAAAGATGCTGGGCCAATTAATTATTCATTAAGAAAAAAAGTATATACCTACACCACAACATAAAGAAATGTCATGATGAAAGAAAAAGATGAAAGCATAAAACAGAGGGGAAATATCTTTATGACTTCAGGACAGGAAAGGACTTCTTTTTTTTAAATTTTTTTTTTTCAACGTTTATTTATTTTTGGGACAGAGAGAGACAGAGCATGAACGGGCGAGGGGCAGAGAGAGAGGGAGACACAGAATCAGAAACAGGCTCCAGGCTCTGAGCCATCAGCCCAGAGCCCGACGCGGGGCTCGAACTCCCGGACCGCGAGATCGTGACCTGGCTGAAGTCGGACGCTTACCCGACTGCGCCACCCAGGCGCCCCAGGAAAGGACTTCTTAAAACACAAACAGCACTGACCATAAAAGACTGCTAAATTCAGTAACACTGAAATTAAGATCTGTTAAACAAAAGATCCAGTACAGAGATTACAAAACAAAAGCAACCATTAGATGATGTTTGCAGCACATAAAATGACAAAAGATTAGTACGAAGATAAGTCCTGCAAATAAATTTGAAACCCAGTAAAGAAGTGGTCAAAGACACAATAGTCCTTTCACTGTGAGAAATATTAGTAGCTCATAAATACACGAAAATATATTCAAACCCATTTGTAGTGAGAGAAACGCAAGTTAAGGCCACGAGGGATATCCTTCAAACCTCCCAAATCTGTGGTCCCTAAAAAATTAGACAAATACCAAATATAGAAGAGAGTAAGGAGCATTAGGAAGACTCACCCACTGACTGTAGAGACATAAATTGGAACGGCCACTTTGGAAATGTTTGGTATTTCTCAAAAAAGTTGAGCATGTGTATATTCTGAGACCCAGCAATTCTGCCCTCATGCTAATACTCTGAACAGTGCTTCTCACACATTAGTGTGCATCAGAATCCCAGAGAGGGTTTGTTAAACACAGATTACTGGACTCTTCCCTGAGTTTCTAATACATGGAATGGGACTTAAGACTTTGCATTAAAAGAACTTCCAGGTGGTCTTGATGCTGTTGGTCTGGGGACCACTCTTCTGAGAATCATTGCTATAAAAGAAACTCTTGGGGTGCCTGGGTGGCTGTCAGTTAAACCTCCGTCTGACTTTGGCTCAAGTCATGATCTCACAGTTCGTGAGTTGGAGCCCCATGTCAAGCTCTGTGCCGACAGCTCAGAGACTTCCTTCCCTGCCCCTCCCCCACTCGGACTCTCTCGTTCAAAATAAAATAAAAACATTAAAAAAAATTTTTTTAAAAAGAAACTCTTGCACTTACTTATCAGGACACATGCAGGATATTAATAATGTACTTCCTTGATACAAACAAACCCAAACATCCTTTAACAGAGTAACTACATTATGGTGTAATCGGTGAGATTATATAACTGTGAAAACAAATGAGATCATAGAGAGAACACAAGGGTTTCTAAGATACAAATTAACGTTCTAGTTTTGAAGCCAGTGGACATTTTCAGATATTCTAATCACTCTTTAAACTGTACATACATGTTTTGCATATTCACTTGTCCATGTATTTCATCATAGAATCTTTTCTGCTTCACTCTACCACCTACTGGCCATTTTTCTACTGCCTGGCCCTACACAAAGTATGTCAAACCATACTCAGGACTTGAGTAAAAGGAAAATAGTTACCTGGTCTCATCTGTCTACTGACTCTAATGCACACACATTGCACCAGCCCCACTTTCTCCCCAGTTGCCCTCAACCACTTCTCAAGATATTTTACACCCTTTCAAGTTCCTGATTGCTCTTCCATGACTATAGGTCTCAAAATCAACACCCAGAACTGAACACAAAGCTCCACATGTGGTCTTACAGACACTGTATCAAGACCTCTTCTCCCTGGCTGCTACAGATTCATTGGTACAGCCAAAACAGTGTTTTTGCAACCGTATCATATTGATTACTCATACTAACTTTATCTACTAAAATTCTCAGCAATTTTGGAGCAGCTGGGTGGTTCAGTCCACTAGGTGTTCGGCTCTTGATTTTGGCTGAGGTCATAATCTCACAGTTCATGGGTTTGAGACCCATGTTGGGTTTCATGCTGACAGCACAAAACCTGCTTGGGATTCTCCCTCCGTCTCTCTCTCTCTCTGCCCCTCCCCGACTCCCCCTCAGCCCACCCCCACCACTACTCGTACACGCACAGACATGCGCTCTCTCAAAACAAAAATATACTTTAAAAAAATTCTCGATAATTTTTCATACATAATGCTAAAGATACACCTGGAAAGTTGGCCTCTTCAGACCAAAAGAATGGACTTCAAACTTTTATCTTAGATTCAGCCCTTATAACATTCTTAGATAGATAGATGCTGATTTTATTACCCATTCTCTGAGGATTCCTCTATGCTTTAGATTCTTCATAGAATGAATGAGCCACCAATGATATTCAAGTCACTGATAAAGTTCAAAAGGACCGGACAAGTACAAAGACCTGAGCCAGATCACCAGAAGTCTTCCAAATTTATCTGTATCCATTAATGTACTCTCTGGTTACAGCCATCAGTTGGCTATTAATCCTCCTTCACATTTTCCCATTTTTCCTCAAGGGTATTAAGAGAAACTATTACAAAATGTATCACTAGAATCTAAAGAAACTGAGTATCTGGCACTCTCTGGTCTTTCAGCCTAATAACACTATTCGAATAATATTGCTGCCATCTTGGACCACGAGGGCCACCCCCAAGGATGACAGAATGGGAAAATGGTTGGAAGCTGCTTCCCAGTGACTTTTTGTGGAGTTGCCATTCCTGCCTTGGGATACCTGTTGCCAGAAATCTTTTAATTGGAAGAGAAATAAACTATTTAGTGTAAAGAAAAAAAAGGTGGGGGGGGGGGGATTACAATAATGGATTGAAGTGATCCTAAAACCAAAATCTAAGCTTGAAGAGAATGAAGCCAAACTATACAGTATTTTTTCTCCAAACAAATTTAATTCTGTTCCAGCCCCAAAGAAGGGGAAGGACCTAATGTTTAAAAATAAAATAAAAGTTGCAAAAAAAACAAGCCATTAAAAAATCAAGCCCCCTCCCTTAGCAATAAATACTGCAATGATATATACACGAGGCTCAGGAAGGAGGCAAGAACGAAAACCGTGGGGACTCTGTCCCACGGCAAGATGCCAACACTTCTACCAATTCCATGCTCTTTGCCTAAAACACAGAAGAGCGATGAAAGAGGCAGGAGAGATTACACCAGGGAAGTGTGTGGCCACAGAGAACCTGAACATGTGAACAGGAGAGAAAGACAAGACACAAAGTGTCCTACAGGACAGGGGAAGGGAAAGTCATCATCTACAACATCCCCCCTTCCTGGCTGAGTCACTGGGTGGAGCTGGCCCAGCTGCTGACGGTCTTGAGCTTATCCTCTCGCCTCCACTCCTGCTTCAGCATGCAAGTCAAGGACGGTCATTCGCACTGTGGCCGTGATGCCACTGTTGCAGCGGCCTGACTGCTGGAGCCCTGGGGCTTCCCGTTCACCACCAGCAGGAGGGGTGTCTCCACACGAATACTGCAAAAGGAATAGTCCTAGAAAAGACAGACAGACAGAGGTTCATTACAGATCCTAAGGTGGAAGCACAGGGAAACACATCTGTGACTTTCTCCCTCTTCCTATCCCTTCAGTGTATATGCTCCTTCCCTTCGTCTCACGTCAAATAAATAAAGCTGAGTTTATTTTTATATATCCCCTAACAAAGGGGATATAATTTTCCCCAAGTTTTCAATCTTCAGAAGGACAGTCTGGGGTAGGTAAGATGCCAGTAGTTTCACCACAAGAATGGGGCAAATCTCTGAAAAATGACAGGTGCCACTGCTGCCTAACTAGAGGGTGCCACCAGCCTTCACAGAATCTGCCCGTCCCAGTGTCTTTTGACAATGAAAACCAGACGCACACAGCCACCAGCGAGAAGCCTGAGAAACTCTTAGTCCCAGTGTTTGTAAGGCCCTAAATTAACTTGCCAAAGATAAATTCAAGTTAATTCTCCCTTCTTCCTCCCTATCAGGGGGAAGAAACAGAATGTGTTGTTTAGACATTCCAATAATAACAGAAAAGACAGCCCACTTTACCAGTTCAAATGTACTTTAGACCATAAAACATGTTGTTAAAACATCTTCATCCAAAAACCATTGTCCCACTCGGAGTTGAGAAGGAGGCGCTTTTAAGTCAAAGTGAAGATGTGAATTAAACAGTTCTCATAAGTCAATTTTTTAAATATCCTAAGAGGAATATGGGCAATGACAAAAAAATGCCAATTTATAAAAGGAATATAAACAGCCAATAAACTTGATAAAATATCCAACCTCACCAATAATCAAGAAACCAAAGCAAAACAATACCAATGCTGTATTTCTTCATGTAAAATCAGCATTTAATTTTTCAAAGGTTTCTGCCCAGACTTGAAAAGAAAACTACAAAGAAGCAATTACATCTGCTGTTGGTATTAACTAGTCCCACATTCCAAAAAATAACTTGACAATATGAATCAAAAGTCTTAGAATTCTGCATACCTTCTGGAACCAGAATTCTACCTTAGAAATTCACTTAAGTAAATAATCATGGATACAGGCAGATAGAAAATTTTTTTACTACAGTGCCTTTATAATTGGGAAAAATTAAAAATAATCTAGATCTGAGAGAAGTAAATTTTTTCTGTAGAAGGCCAAATAATAATTAATTTAGGCTTTGTGGGTCATACGGTCTCTGTCACAGAAGAAGTATTCAACCCTGACCCCATAGTGCAAAAAGCAACCACAGACAAGAGTAAACAAATAAGTGTGGCTCTGTTCCCAAACAAATTAACTTTTTGGACACTGAAATTTGAATTCCCTATAATTTTCATGTATCACCAGTTATTATTCTTCTTTCAATTTTTTCATTTAAAAATATAGAAACTGGGGAGCCTGGGTGTGTCAGTTAGTTAAGCATCTGACTTTGGCTCAGGTCATGATCTTGCAGTTCGTGAGTTCAAGACCCATATCGGGCTCTGTGCTGACAGCTCAGAACCTGGAGCCTGCTTCAGATTCTGTCTCCCTCTCTCTCTGCCCCTGCCCTGCTTGTGCTCTGTCTCTCGCTCTCTCAAAAATAAATAAACATAAAAAAAACCAGATAAATAAAAATATAGAAACTATCCTTATATCACAGACTATACAAAACAGTCAGGGAGCCAGATTTGATCAATAGGCCAGTTTGCCAACCCCTGATCTAAATGGTGAAAAAGTGGTGAAACTGCTACTCTTAGAAGATTTCTGTGTTTATTACATGAGCCAGTAAAGGCAATAAACCTCTAAACCCAGCACCTAGCAGTCAGTTAAGGTGTTCAGGAAATGTTAACTGTCATCATCATCTTCATCACCACCTTTGTGTGTCAATTCAAAACAACACTGTTAGAATATGTTAAACTGCAGGAAATGTTCACAAACATTGCATATAATATTCCACTCATTAAAAATATACATATGGATGTATATATATATGCATACATATATGTATATACTATAAATAATATATATAAATAAATATATAAATATATAATTGTAAATATGTTTATAAATGTATATATGTATATATACATATTTATGAAAAAAGACTGTAGGTATATATAAGAAACTAATATCTGAGTGATAATATTTCAGTCCCTTTTTAAAAAAATTTTTTATAGAAATAATTGACATCTAACATGTATAAGTTTAAGGTGTAAACATGTTTATTTAATACATTTATATATTGGAATATGATGACCACCATGGTGTTAGGTAACACCCATCATGTCATACAGTTACCACTGCTTTTTTGTTGTGGGAGCAATTAAGATTTGTTCTCTTAGCAACTTTGAAGTATACAACACCATACTGTTGTCTGCAATCACTGTGCTGTGCATTAGCTCTCCAGGATTTATTTACCTACTAGTTCCAAGTCTGTACCCTTAAACAACATCACCCCAATTTGCCCACCACAACCCCAGCCACTGGTAACCACTATTCTATTGTTTTCATGAGTTCAGCTTTTTTAGATTCCATATATAAGTGTTATCATACAGTATTTTTCTCTGTCCACTCCATTTTTTAAATTCTTGTTTACCAATAGGTTCCCTTTTTAGTAAAAAAAGTATATACATCATATATGGAAATATGTGTGTATATCACATACACACACACACACACCACACACACATATATATATATGCATTACGTTACGTATTTATTAAAAGAGATAAACTTGGTCCCACTTTCAGAGCCTATAAGCTGGGAAAAAATCCTGGCCATCACTCACTTTTCCTTTGTGCTGAATTCGGTGAAGCCGAAGACTGGGCTCAGGAATGGCTACGGAGTCCCCAATGAGCACTCCCCAACTCTGTACCATATTATACACCATCACTGCACAGCAAGGTCCATCTGAATCTACCAGGCCAAATGTACTGCCAGGTTAAGACAGGTTAAGGGAAGGGTGGGGAGGAAAGCAGGCAGGAAAGAAGAGCAAAAACAGTGGTTTTAGAATACCAGCAAAATTAACAAATGCTTTCTCAGTTAGTTACTTAGAAAACTTAAGACAGGTACCATCATCTACCATCTGAGTCCTCATTTGTCTTACATATGTAATATCTTTAAAGCATATGCACAGGACTCATCAGTCTGTCACTTGACCAAGAACTTGAGACATCTGCACACTGAGACCATTCAACAAATAATAATGAACCAGCTCAAAATGTTGCAGCTGTGACATTATTCCTGGTCTATCAATTTAACCATCACAACCTTCCAACTCTCTAACCACCATCACTGTCAGTTTAATTCAGTCCCACAAACTTTCCCTGAATGCCTCTTATGCGTCAAGCTTTGTGCTTAGCAATAAGACACTGGGGGCGCCTGGGTGGCGCAGTCGGTTAAGCGTCCGACTTCAGCCAGGTCACGATCTCGCTGTCCGTGGGTTCGAGCCCCGCGTCGGGCTCTGGGCTGATGGCTCAGAGCCTGGAACCTGTTTCCGATTCTGTGTCTCCCTCTCTCTCTGCCCCTGCCCCGTTCATGCTCTGTCTCTGTCTGTCCCAGAAATGAATAAACGTTGAAAAAAAAAAAAAAAAAAAAGACACTGATCCAGCTATGAGTGAGTTTACAGTCAAGCAGGAGTCAGACAGTTAAACCATCACTTACAGGACAAATGTGACAGGTGCCAGAATAGTTTTTCCCTTGTGATGAGTTCAGTGAGGCCAAAGATTGGACAGTGGGAACCCAGACCCAGAGGAGAAATGTTCAAAACTAGTAGGCAGGGAAGATTTCCTTGAGGAGGAGACCCTCAAACTGAATTGTAAAGGATGAAAAATTATCTGGGTTAAAAAAGGAAAACTACTCCTCAGTAGAAATAAAGAACCTCTGAGGGAATGAGAACAGGGACTGACTGGGAGGGAACATGAGAAAACTTTCCGAGGTGCTGGTAATTACTGTTCTCTATCTTGACAGGTGTTTGGGTTACACAGCTGTACGTGTTAGTCAAAACTCAGCAAATGTACACTAAGATTTGTATACTTCATTCTACGTAAATTTTTACATAAAAAGAAAAAAACTGTAAAAAAAAAAAAAAAA